GCTCATTATAAAACTATATCAGTGCTTCTCAAATCTATCATCAGTATTGATATATTTAGAAATCTTTTTTTATCTATTTACAAATATAAAATAATAACTTTTATAATTGAAGTATCTCTTTGATCATTGAGGCTCATAATCTGATGACTTTTCTTTAAATCTTCAAAGTTGATCTCTAATACTTTAATGCATTTATTTGTAAAACTTAAGTTAATTAATATATAATAATTTATTTTAAAATTCACTAATAATTTTGTAGAAATAATATATTTATTAAAAGCTATATTAATATATATAATAAGAGAATTTTTATTTATCAGCTTTCTCATGTTCAAAGTCTTTAGTATAATTATCTTATATGAAAAGAAGACTTTTTTCAAACTTAATCTTTTTCTGATTTGATGATAGCAGTCTCAGTATTCACTTTCTTTAGTTTAATCTCTTGCTTATATAAGCAATTTTATACTATATAATCTTTACTTCAGCAGTTGAAGCATTTCACATTCTTTTTTCAATTCTTAGTTATTTGTATTAATATGATTGAAATTGATTTACAATTGTTTTATCTCATAGAGATATCTTTATGATTGATTCAAATTACTGAAGTTTCTTCTCAATTGAATAGTTATCAGCTATTTTAATTATATATATTTTTGAAATAATGAATAATTTGAATACAGATTTTTTAAACCTCACAAAAGATGTTATAATTGATATTCATCATCATAATTATATGTTGAAGATTAAAAAATAGTTTGTAAAGAAAGTCTACTTTATAATCTTTCTTCTGAATTTGAGTTTTATCAGTTAAATATAAGAACTTAATCATAGAGATATAATAATCATTCTTATTTCTCATTATCAAATGTTGATATTTTATCTTTATATTCTCAAACTTATTAACATCTTTATATATTTCTTACAAATACTGAAAACCCTTCTTGATAATTTCAAATCTCTTAGAATGGTTTTCTTTTATTCTAAAAGTCAGATATATTATTACTTCATCATTTGTTTGATTTTCAATATATGCAATATGACTTTTTTCAATTAAAAAGTAATTAGTATTAACAGTTAGCTTGTATCCTATTTATAAGAGTCAGTTTTCAAATATTGATTCTTTCTCCTTAATGAAGAACTTCAGATTATCAAGCTTAGCAGATTACTGAATTTATTAAATATTTATCAGTTTGATTTATAAGATTAAGAAATTCACTATCTGCTATAAGATATTCTATTTTCTATTAAGCTGTTCACTTGTTAATCAAGTTCACTCACTTGCTTTCTCTATTTATCTTATTTTATTTGAATTTAATATAAAGTTCCTTTTATTTTATTTATAAAATCAGTAATTTTTTAATATATTCACTTTAGATTCTCTTCAATTACTTTTAAAAATATTTTTTTTGATAAAAACTTTTTTGATTTCATATTTTTTTCTGTCAGAGTTATCATATCTCAGTTCAATTTTCACAGACTATCAGATTTTCTAACTGCTGCTGATATTTTAACAATATTCTCAGAGATTCAAAATAAAAGTAAACAAAAATTCTCAGATATTTTTTATTTAAAAATCTATTTTAAAAATAATAAAAAAGTTATAAATTTTAATATTATATTAAAATATCAATCTAGATACAGATGAAATAGTTATTCAATTGTCAATTAGATAAGTTATCTAAATAAACTATTAAGATAATTTCTAAAAGATGAGTTTGAAAAAGACTTTATTTATATAATTCTTTTCTTAATACAGTTACTTTTTTTTTTAGTATTATTACTAGATAGTTCTCTTATTTTTTATATTATTAATATATGAGATAATTATAAGATTAATTGCTATATATTATGTAGATATTTATAATTTATTAATTATTTCAAGCAGTAATTTTATTACTATTAAACAAGACTGAACAGAGCTAATTTTATATTATGATAAATTTAAGTAAATTCTAACTATTATCTTTAGTATATTTTATATTTTTGAATACCTTATAGTATAGTATTTGATTATTTAGATTTATATATAGCTATAATTATTTATATATAATACTTATAAAATAAAACTATTTTGAAAAAAAATAAAAAAAATATATCTATTAAAAATAGTTGAATAAAATATTTGATAATTTATAAAAATAATTAATTACTCAAAAGTATTTACTACTTAGTGATAAAGTATGATATCAATTTATGTATATAATAAACTTCAATATTTATATACTAGTTGAAATTATTAACTTTTACAAGTATAGAAAATAATAATAATAATAATAATAATTAAGATATTTAAGATTAATAATAATTTTTAAATATATATAGTATCATTAAATATATAATTAATTTATTAAAGTTAAAAATATCTTAAATTTTAATTTATATATAATTATTATATTTTTTATAAAATTTTAAATAATTTTTAAGTAATTATTTTTATTTTTATATTTATTTAATATAATTTATAATATTAAAATTAATTAATTTAATACTTTAAATAAAATTTAATTAATTTTAAATTATATTTTTATTATTATAAAAAAGAACTTATAGAGTGTTTTTATAAAAGAAGATGATTAATTATATTTCTTTTAAAATATCAGTTATGAAGTAGTTTTTATTTTATTTAATTTAAAATTTATTTAACAAGCTTATTTTTCAAATAGCAATTTTTATAATTCTAACTAACTAGTTAGTTAACTAGTTAACTAATTATATTATATAAATTAATCATGAAATTTATATGTAGCTTCATAAGTTAAGTTTTATATTATCATTTAAACAACAATTCTTGTGAGTTCAAGTCTTTCCTCTAATTCAAAAATTTTTTTTACATTTTTATTGAGAATTGATAGCATCATTATGCATTGAGGTGTTTAGATTAGGAACATGAAGATATGTTGAATTTTAAGTCTAGTTCAATAGGGTCTAAAAATTATTACGTTAATTAGCCCCTTTACTTACAAAACTGTGTGCAACTGTTTTAACTGCCCACCTCGTGGTTTTAAAAAAGTTGATCATGGTTTAAAAGTTGGGCCTACTTTTTAGTTAACTCTGATCACACCGTCTACTTCTGTAACGGGCCAGTTGCTGAGAACAGCTTATAACTAACGCGTATGAAAACAGAAAGGAATTGTTAAAGAAGGAAAAAAGAAACACAGATTATGTAGGGATTAGGCTTCCTTTATAAAGAGCAGAATTTCAGTAGTAAGGGGCTTTATACGAGGATGATTGAGGCGCCGCCTCGGTAGTCTACGAATAAGGTGGAGGCGCTGCCTTGATAGCGCCGCTCTTATAGCGCTGCTCTGATAGAACTGCTTCGATCGTACGAAGGCAGAGCCTGAGTATCATGAGGGTTAGGGCATAACTAGCCCTTAATAACTTCTGCACATTCGCTACACTGTATTCCTATTACATATCTTTATTCAACCTCACCACCAAACCAGTGGTAGGAGTAGATTAGGGGGTAGGATTGGGATTAGGGTTAGGGTTAGTTATAGGTAAAGGTCTCAAAATATAATAAAATCATTATCATCAAGAGCGTATAGAGATAAGCAAGTGTGAGAATGACTAGTGTATGTAGTTTTAATGTTAGGGTGTCATGGTTTACATCTTAAATTCACACGGGATCACATTTAACATTTTTAAAACCAATGTTCAACTCAACGCCCTACCTCGAACGGTCTACGAGAAGAGGCTGAAATCTAATCTTTTGTATGATTGGAGAAGCCCTGGGGTTATGTAGTTACAGCGCAGTACATACATGATAGAGGAAGTCTACCAAAAAATGTTCAAAAGAAAACAGAAGCTGTGGCTCACGAATGTAAAAAGGAGGTGCCATACTGTAAAATCCATGGAAGAGAGCAATTTAAAAAAAAAAAAAGAAAGAAAGAAAGAAAGAAAAGAAAAGAAAAGAGAAGAAAAAAACTTAAATATCCGACACAACTCAGTATATCTGCCATCCAAGATCTATAATTTAGAGCAAATCCGTTCAAGAAATCAAGAACCAAAAATTCTCCCGATAACATCCACCTCCACAGGTGTTGCCCGAAAACGGTAGAAATAAAAGCCCTATCTGGCCCCCTCCCGATATGCCTCGATTTCACGAAACATCATCTCAACGTCAACTTTCAAGTCATAATCCATCAAGAAGCAAAAGTTAATCTCAAGCCTAGCCAGCTCACGTTCCGTCACTCCCCCAACCTTAGCAAACCTCCTGTGTCGATAACAAAGATCCTCCATCATTTTTGATGCCACCCGAAGCCCCCCTAAAATGAGACGATGCATGTTACGCGGCGTCACGTAGATGATTTTCTCCACTGTTGCCATATATATAATGTAATGGCTCGTCGCCAAATATACTGCTGTTGACATCGGGCAGTAACGGTGAAGTCGGAGAAGATACTCTTCCAGGGTTAGTGAGGAAATCTGCTTGCTGTAAAAGCTCTTTATCAATATCCTTGGTGAATCGATTTCACGCTGTTCTCTGCCGGTCTCCGCGTTGGCATCTGTCTGGAGGTTGTTGTTGTTGTTGCTGTTTTTCCCTGTAGGAGAGTTGGTACAGGTTTCGTCCTGGGGAATGAATTCACCAACGGGTGTCGATGAGGGGATATCACCGGTAGATTTGGCAAGTTTGTCCACGCGTGCGCACAGTATCTTCAAGGCTGATTCAGCGGAAAGGTTGAATACTTCCGCATCACGAGATAATTTAACATCATCCACAGAAGTACATTGCTGAGGAAGCTGGCTTGGAGCAATCGAGAGCTGGCGCAAAGGTGTTGACAAACTGCCTGTCATGTCCCCTTTTTGTTCCTGGTTTCGTCTGCTCATTCTGAGGTTGCTTTCCATCCATTTGAGGCTTTAGCATGGGAAGTGTGTGGGTTGTTGCATTTATTCCCTTGCCAGGAAAGGTTTTCACAAATTAACAGTGACAGGTATTTGAATTCAGCTGTTAGTTGAAGGTGCTCTCTGTGTACTAGAGCTTGCATTGTACGTGGCAAGGTATCGTTAAAATATTGTGACAGACACGTCGTCCGATGGCAATAAATGAGGACTCAAATGTCGAATTGGTGATCAGATTGATCCAACAGTCTTATATATCTAATCCGAGATACTTTATTCACCAATGAACAATTTTGGCAAATTGCGTTAAATCAAAGGCGGCGAGAAAGTATTAATTCTTTCCAAGTTTCCCACGAACAAAAGTTGGGATTGTGTCCATAACAAAGCGAGAAAGGGACAACTGAACACCGAGATGGGCAGCTCAAATCCTGGAGATAGTAAGTATTCAAACAAAAAAGAAAAACAGAGAGTAAGGGATGTTTAGCAGTGATGAAAACAGCAGTTTCACTGCATTTTAAGACAGAACTGTGAGCAGCTGTCAGCAAAACTAAAAATCAGGAAGCTAGGAGAGATAAGATTCCAAAAGATAGAAACGATGAGGAACTACATACTAGGCATTCTCCTATTCTTTTTCTTTTGAAAGTCCCCCCCCATTGACGGCTGTTCTACTTAGGACTCGATTTTCGATATCAATTTCTTCTCGTTTAAAATCCCCAAGGCGACTTTTGGGGAATAACCAAGGTCACATGATTTCCTAACCAGGGTCTGGTAGCCTCAACATCATGGATACACCTAAAAGAAAAATTTTGTGCCATTGTAATACTTTAGATATTATTGGACTGGCATTTAACACCAATTCATCTGAGAGGAGTTATGGGCTCCTCACACTTCCGTAAGTAACTGGTTTGGAACAGCTCTATTAGCGGGAAGACCAAAACGACCCAATCAAAAAGTGAAAGGCACAAATGAGAAACAAATTCCATCAATGGCTTTGAACAATAACATAGCTCATCCCCACCTCTCCATAAACTTCTTCTGCGCCTTGTCTTCTCCATGCAAGATATCAACATTAAGACCATCAATTCCCTTGCGGAGGGCTTCAATCTGGCATTCCAAAGAACTGAGTCTCTGCTCCGGCGCACCATCAGCCATAGAAACCTCGAAATTTGAATCCGCATAGAGAGCTGAATGCAGTAGCTGTGCGGTTTGGTCAGCTGGCCCCAAATGTACAGAGAGCGGCGACTCCGCGGTAGATTGTAAATTCTGAAGCATCTCCAGCATGTGCTGCTTTTTTCCATCAAGTGATGCTGATGTGTTTTCAGCTAATCCACTTTCCACAAGATCAACAATGGAAACTCCGAGTCGACGTAGAAGCTGTTCTAGGGCTTTCGAGCCATGGTCAAGAGGGAGGGGGATGGAGCTCTTTCGCTCCGTATTTCCGGGTGTCGAAGGTGCATATGATAGTCGGGATATTTGTTTTTGTGCTGTGGTGCTTATATTTGTCTGCTGCTCCGATTGTTTTTTATCTTGTTCGGATTTGTATTTGGTAGACAGATAATTTATAGCTATCCGATGGGATTGTCGGTTAATCAGTCTTTCAGTTATTCTTTCCGCAGATTGGGTTAATTGAATTATTGTATCCAAAATCTGTTATGAGATTCGCTTTTAACATTAACTTCGCTGGGCCGGGAGGGGACGTTAAAAGAGGGAGATGATGCACGAGTGTACGAACCTGTTCCAATTGCTGTTGAGAGGTCGACCGAGTTTCCGTGCCGCGGCTCTGAAGAGCCCGAAGTATCGGAACCTTGAATTGTTGCTGAGTGGTCATCTCTGAGAGAATCTCAATCTCAGAGTATAACGAATTGATCTCTTCTTGAAAAGTTGCCAACTGGGTGTTCTTGTCTTCACCCTGATCCGCCCCGGAAGCGCCGTTATGGATAGCTTCAAGGTAGAGTCGATCCAACCGGGAGTGAATTTCCTCTGCAAGATACCCAGCAAGTTTTGCAGTGAGTTGGGTAGCTCGCCTACTAAGTTCCTTGTCATCTCCATCTATTTGAACGGTGGATGCAATCTTTTCCAACCCTAGCATGGATCGGTCGTCATCCTTCAGTTTGCCTGCTAACATGGGGAGTAAGGTGCTGGACTCAGTGGACAACAAAGATTGCACAGCGCCGAGAGACGTCTCAAATTCGTGGGTGAGATCTTCAACCTACGAAAATATCAACCATTGCACACATAAACTTCGATAGGAAAGCATGCAAAAGAGAGCGGAGCTGGGTGTAATACTGTAACATCGGTTTGCTGCTTCTCCAGCGCATGTTTCTTATTCAATTGTCCCCATGCTCTTGATTCTCGTTGGCGTGACTGATTTGGACTTCGAATCTGGGACTTAAGTTCCTTGCACTGTAGTTTCAATGTCTCTGTTTGGTTCTCAATGGCTGCTGTGGACGCCCTGAGAGATCCAATCGCGTCACGAATTTCATCGTCGAGGAACGGTCTTGTCGAGGATATTTCTTGCCCTTGTAGGATACTCTTGAGGGACCCAGTCGCTTCTAATTTCGCATACCTAACCAACAACGAAGAAATTAATTAATACGGTTTAGTTAAGGAATCCAGTTGTTTGCTGGGGAAAACCACCGCGGACAGATGTCGATTCCCTTACAAGGCAGATTCCTCCTTCGACAACAGGTTATCTGGGCCAAGATGACTTTTTATCCATTTGCAAGACTCGGCATCTGTTAGAGCCGCAGCAATCTCATCACGTTTAACAGGAATATTTCGTTCCCTGAATGCATTTGTAACCTTCTCCCGCAGTGATGTTTGGTTGATTTCCATGGTTGTTGTTCCACTGCACTGATGTGAAGTTCATTAATTAATGCATTGGAAATAAAGGTTGGCGTATTATTGATTAACTAAGTAGACGAGATGGATGAAGCTAATGGACACAGTTCGTTCAACCCCTGGAACCTTGTTGTGATCGTCCCGGGAACTTTAACTTCAATTGAATGAAATTTCAATATAACAATAACAAAATACCCAGGCAACCCTTATTTACGTTTTATGCTTCCAGAATAGGGCCATGGCTATTCTGTATTTGGTACGAGGAACACACACTCAGAATGTGCCTACAATTAATTGGGTTGCCTTTAATCAAGACAAGACGCTGTCAACCCCCATAGCTTCTCTCTTCCGCCATTTACAATATAACTAATTTAGTTAACATTAACTAGTTAACTAAGTAGCTACCTAGTCAAAGTGTTGATGATGTCATCGGGAATTTCGTTGGTGTATTTGGGCTAATTATGATGAAAAGAAAAATCAAAATTTCCCTGTAATATGCTATGCAGCTAAAGACGCTCAAAATGTTTTCAGAGTCAAGGGATAGTGAACCAAGTCACAGTTTCTTGACTAGGGTTATTGGTACACACCAGCAACGTTTTCCCAAGCTGTTAGAAAGCAAAAAAAATAATAATGATAATAAATAAATAAATAAAATAAAATAAAATAAAATAAAATAAAAAATCAAAAATGTCAAACGGCGCCAAATGCGAGATGGAATGCGACTTTCAAAACAGAGGAAAATAGTCAATATGGGCGGGTCGGTACATTCCCGGCTGTCGTCCCGTCGTGAGGATTCGGATATGACCAAGATGTCACTGCGATGATGACGTAAACCAGTTCAAGCAGCGCTCTTCCAGGTAATTCGATTTGCCGTCCCCGAAGAAAGTTGCCAACAACAAGAATGGAGAGTATGAGCAAGACAACCATGAACATTTCGAAGTTCAAGAATCGAAGGCACAGCTTCTCTGGACTTCGCTATCCGAATAGGGCGTCAACCTGGAAGATTCTCGGGGCCCTCGAAAGAGTGCAAAGAAGAGGGAGATTGGAGTTTCATTCTGGGACGGAATCCTTATTCCTCTCTGTTCGAAATGAGAGACGTGCGAACTTATTTATCTCCGTTCAAAAGACAACATACCGTTAACCCAGCACTTCTTCTGGCAAGGAATATTGGTGCCTGCAGTCAAGGACTTGCCATAAAGCAAACCTGCAATCGAGAGACCTTTGCATGTAAGAAATTGCCACGTTCTACCTTCAATTCCAGGATTGGCGAGGCTGGTCAGGAAATGTATAAGAAGCGCAAACTCGAGATAAGAAATTGAAGGGATAGTCAAATTACTCAACCACGCAAGTAAAAGAGTATAAAAAGCGAAGAGAAAAATCGCAAAACGAAAGAGAGTGAGATATATATAGGAAAAACCACAAAAGAGAAAGCTTCCGTCAGTTCTCCATGACATCCATGGGTTGACCGAGGAAATAATCAATTGCGCTGAAGCCTGTAGCAACGTAGTTAGTTACAGGAGTCACAGCTCGGACAGTATTTGCTCCAATAGTAAGCAGTCGCCCTCACATCCACCACACAGCTGGACTTCGAAACACAATTATTTCTCAGTCCCATCACATCACAACCTCACAAGTGAACTGCCATTGGACCTTTAACTTATTTTAACTTATTTATCTTATTTTATTATTTATTTACTTATTTATTTTTACCAACTTCCAGCCCCTTTAGCGGCGTAGTTTGTGTCAGGAAAATGCAATGTTCATTGATCATCCATTAAGTTGAATTGAACCCAGCACACTTGACCTTTTCAGTTTTTATTCGAAGCTTATCGGTTTTGAAATTTACTTTCTCCCTTTATTCCGACATCTCGAGGAAGAGATATCAATTCTATTAATAATTCATAGTGAAAGGGCCTCGGAACGTATTCAAGAACGACGAAATAATTGCTCCACATTCTTTTGTTTCATAATGGGCAAACGCATCAGCTTGACGTATTTATCTAGGTAAGAATTGGCTAACTAAGCGCTTTGTGGACCTCAAAGTTTCACATTACAAACTCCACTAGAAGCCCCTTAAGTGTGGTGGATAGGTGGGTGGGTGGGAAATAACTAGGAGAAAAAGGAAGAACAAATCTAACGTTGATGTGATAACTATATGAAAGGGAATTTATGTAATGGACAAAGAAAAGGCAGTGTCTGTGTAAGACTGTGATAGCCCGACTGGATACTAATACTCTAGATGCATGTATAAAGGAGCCCTTCAACAACAATCACAGATAATTTGACGGCAAATCGATATCCCCGCATATTTAATTCTCAATTGCCAAGTTCAAGTCCATACGAAGGTCATCAGTAAACTATTTAACTAGTCAACTACGGCATCTGAGAACACATTGTCCTTTATTGACCGTCATCATACCTTGGTATCATAATGTTATGCCCAGGCTTTTAGAAAGTCGGAGGAACAGCCGTGTCCTGGCAGACCTGGTCACCTTAACGATATGGTGCATCGTATTCTCGACATCATCTGCCCCACACTCTTACAGATTCAAGGCTTTCAATAAGGTCTCATTTAGACCTCTTAAACCTTCCAGATCGTTCTCTTTGATCTGAACAGAATACGACATGGGTACCTCTTCCTGTCAGGGCTTCTGTCATATTTGGCGAGTCAACGGGGGCATTAACCCATCGTTATTGCGGAATGGTTATAAAAGCTGGCCTTATACCAGGTTTTTATATCATCTCTTCCCATCCCGAGCCGAACGATTTACCATCCAACACCAAATTCAGAGCTATAGAACCTCTCCTTCATTTATTTCCACCATAACATGCCTCGCTTCACGAGTCCATTCGATGGAGCCCAGCTCTTCTATAGAGATTATCAGCCTACAAGCAAACTCCAACCTTATCAACCGAACAAAACAGAAGCAGAAAAACAAAAGCCAGCGTTGGTATTCATCCACGGCTGGCCAATGTCTTCGCTGATGTTCGAGCACCTAATCCTACCCCTCTGCGAAAGTCAACAGTATAGATGCATTGCCCCTGACCGACGTGGTTTCGGCAATAGTGACTGGAATGGTCCCGAACCGGGGATGGAACAGATAGACTATAACGTATTTGCACAAGACACGGCCCATCTGTTAGAGAAACTTGACATTAGACCGTTTGTCTTTGTTGCCGCAAGCATGGGACCAGGAGAAACACTCTTAGCTTACGAGCGCAGCGAATTCGTTCGAAGTAACTGCAAGGTAAAAAATCATATACCTGTTTATAACTGTAACAAATATAACATCAAACTGCCCTGGGACTTGTTGACACCGGACTGGCCAATTGTAGGGATTCTTTTGGGTAGGCCCTGCGCTTCCATTTCCTCTGGCTACTCCAGAAAATCCCAATGCGCCACCGCGCGAATTGTGGGACTCGATGCTCGAAGGATTCCGTAAATCACGAGCTGATTACACCCATGAAGCTCTTCCGCCTTCGCTATTCGTCCTATCATCCAAGCGGACGATATCAGAGTTCACACTCCGCCGACTCGAAAACATTGTCGCAATGGTTGATGCCATTGCTATTGAGCGATGCGTTCAGATTATTACAAGCTTAGACTTCACAGACCGCTTGCAGAAGCTTGGTGCAAATACTGATGTACCTATCATGTGCGTTCATGGGGATCAGGACTTGGGCTGTCCCTACGAGGCAAGTTCCAAAGTCATCAAGGAAATTATTCCCAGGACGAATGTTAAAATGTACGAGTCAGGCGCTCACGGTGAGTAAATCATTCCGCCCTCGTCTTTCTACATAAAACCATTGACTCACTTGTTTGCTGATCTATCCTACTTGTAACAGGTCTGTATCTGACACACAGTAATGAATTTCTTGGGGATTTATTGGGCTTCGTTGACGGATTGCACTGGCCAACATCTTACTAAGGTCCAGATGGGACTCTGGGTCCGTTTGAAAAGATATATAGTTAGTCTGTCAATTAACTTACTTTAACCCCGCATGTTGACATTTAGCATATTGTTATTCCACGTGATGATGGAAGTTGTTGAAACCCACATGTTTTCATAATTAGAAAGTTGTCCCTTCCAATCAGCAACGTTCGCAAAAAAGCCCATCTGTTCTTTTTTTCGCACCCGTGAACCATTATTGAATTGAACAGCAAATCCAAATACCTCTGCTGCTCGATCACATGACGGCGTGTTATCCAGATTCCTCATAGGTCCTCGAGAGATCCACTATTAGTTAGTTTGTGACTAGGTTAGAAGATCTCCGCAGGGCGGGTTGCGTCGGCGCCTCATGGGCTAGACCTGCTCCACCCAGGAGGCAAAAAAGAGACAGGGCAAGGCAAGGTCCGTGGGACAAAACCCAGCCGAACCTTGGAAGAAACAAATATAAAAACGTACAACCTGTATCTTCTTCCAGTTGTATTTGTCTTTAAAAGCACCTTTTTTTTACTTTTCCTTTCGTTAACTACATTCTCCTCTTTATCACCCCACCCCTGCTGCAATGTCTACCAAAACGAGCCCCGCTGCACCCCCAGTGGTGATGGAATCGATCACCCAGAAAATCGGCAATACGCCTCTAGTTCGCCTCAATAAAGTGCCTCAAAGCCTGGGCATCAAGGCTACCGTCTATGCGAAGTTGGAGTATTTCAATGCCGGGGGCAGTGTGAAGGACCGAATTGCACTGCGCATGATCGAGGAGGCAGAACGCAAGGGTAGGATAAAGCCAGGAGATACCCTAATTGAGCCAACAAGCGGAAACACGTAGGTCATAGATATATGCACCTCTTTTTGTATTAGCTATTGAAGTGGAGTGGGTTTTTACTGACCCGGGCGCAATTGGCGTATTCAGAGGTATCGGGCTTGCTCTTGTTGCAGCAGTAAAAGGTGACAGAGCCCCTAATTTCTCGTCGACATAGCTGCTGATGGGACTGTAATTTTTAACTACGCACATCTTAACGTGCAGGCTATAAAACGATAATCACGCTCCCAGAAAAGATGTCCGCCGAGAAAGTTTCCGTCCTGCGTGCTTTGAATGCCACCATCATCAGAACGCCCACAGAGGCTAGCTCCGATTCCCCAGAATCACATATCGGTGTCGCAAAGAGATTAGAAAAGGAACTACTAAATGCTTATATCTTGAACCAGTATGGAAATGAAGATAACCCTCTCGCGCATGAGTTCGGCACAGCAGAAGAGATATGGGAGCAAACTGCAGGCAATATAAAAGCTGTGGTTGCTGGGGCGGGGACAGGTGGCACAATCACTGGGGTTGCCCGTGGCCTTAGAAAGCATAATCCCAACGTCATTGTCATTGCGGTAGATCCTTATGGGTCAACACTCGCCTTGCCGGAATCATTAAATCAGGAGCACATGAACGAGCCGTACAAGGTTGAAGGTATCGGCTATGACTTCATCCCTGATGTGCTGGATCATGGAGTTATTGACAAGTGGTATAAGACGGGTGACAGAGAATCGTTTCAGTATGCTCGACAGCTGATAGCTGAAGAGGGCCTTCTTGTTGGCGGCAGCAGTGGAAGTGCGATTGCTGGTCTTGCCAAGGCAGCCAAGGACTACAATTTTACGGAAGATGATGTTATTGTTGTTATTTTCCCGGATAGTATTCGAAGCTATCTAAGCAAGGTTTTTTATTCCTGTTCATTCGAACGTTTATGCAAAAGTAACCTTCCTAATGTGTTTGGTAGTTTGCGGATGACGACTGGCTTGCCGCGAATGATTTACTCCCCACAACTTGCCAAGAGACAGAATCTGGGTCACCAGATATACAAGCGCGGGCGCCAAAGGATCCATTCTCGGGAGCAAAGGCCAAAGACCTAAGATTGAAGCCAGTGACTACTGTCCTATCAAATTCCTCATGCGAGGCAGCCATCGAAATCATGAGAGATAAAGGCTTCGATCAATTACCCGTACTAGCCCCTACCGGAAGGCGTTTGGTAGGTCTAGTCACTCTCGGAAATCTCCTCAGTTGCCTGTCTCGTGGCAGGGCCACGGGCAGTAGCCCCGTCTCCGATGTGATGTTCAACTTCTCGAAATTGTCAGAGGTAGTCACGGATCCCAGAGACATCATGCGGGTTGCTCCAAAGCTTGTCCCGGACTCTGTGGATGGATCAGGATGGGACGCGGGAAAGAGGCGTAAATATGTCGAAATCACGCTAGATACACCTCTCAGCGAACTGAATCGGTTTTTCAAATGGAATAGCGCTGCGGTGGTTACGGAGAAGGGAGAAAATGGACAAATGAAGCCGGTGGCTGTGGCTACCAAGGTGGATTTGTTGACTTGGTTGCTACACCGGAAAAACACGCATCCATGATTGTTCAGAGGGTTTATATATATATATATATATATATATTGTTGTTTATTAAATGTTTCGGTGTTTTCCTTTGCTCCCTGCATATCTCTCTTTTTTATATTTTTTATTTCCCACCCTCCCTTCTCCCTTTGGTCTCTCCAGCTTACTGCTGGTTGATGGGTAGATTTTCCAGTTTGGTTGAATTCAGCGGTCTCCCTTTTTCTTTTCAACATTATGTTTATACCTTCCCCACTACCCTTGGGGATACGATGTTATAATGTATAAATACACACAGCATGGGTGATAGATTAGAGTTCTATTTAATTCAGCATCGAATACTCCACATCTAAGGGGGCTATTATTTGGAATGACCAAGCCTCAAGGGACGCACTGCAAACCGTATATTCGTAAATAAGACACCTCATATTCGATTGTCGGTGTATATTAAAATATACCGGCACACACCATGCATACAGATCATAAGCACATCCCAACCCACTCCTCCCAGCGCCGTATCCCACTCCCACAGTTGCCGGCATCATCACTCAACACCTCGCCCCCCATCACATCAACTTGAATCCCCATCTGCTCCTCTAGCATCTGGAAGCTAAACGGCACCCCCTCCTCATCACCACCCAGCATGTCCTGTTCCTCTTCGGCCAACACATCCACACTAGCATCCAACAATCCTTTTTTTCTCGACCAACGAATCTTCTCAATCTCAGATTCCAGCTTCGCTTTAACCGAACCTGGTGGCAGGGCCGCGAATATATCTTGTTTATTAGCAGCGACCAGGACAGGAATTCGGGGAACCTTCTTGGACGATAGTGGTGATTTTCTGTACACGCGGTTTTGCAACGTCATGAGCACGTCGTGTAGGTATGTAGCTGCGTCCCGTAGAAACTCATCACTTTGGGACAAGGTTGCGGAATCGAGCATGAAAATTACACCGCAGAGCCCATCTGGACCCTTTCTTTTGGGATTTGATAGGGATGCCAACAATGCGATCCCCTGGGATCCGCGAAGTTTGCCATGGCCCGGGGTATCTCGAAGGCGGTAGGTAATTGGGTTTCTGGCTGTTTCTTTGAATGATGGGTCGTTGACTGAGCGGTATTTGTTGGAGCCAATATGCACGGTTGGGGGGAGAGTTACGTGGATAAACGAGGAGATTTGGGAAGTGTGTGTGTCTCTTGGGGGCTTTTGAGACTGAGACGTTGACCGTTGTTCCAGCTAAATTTATGTTGTTAATTCATGCCAGCACAGCATAGCAGAATTGTTTCAAACGTGGGAGTTGGACTTACAAGTGAACACAATGCTGTTTTCCCAGATCCACTAGGCCCAAGGAGTAGAAAATCTCTTGAGGCACTTTTAGGGGAGGATCTGTAGAGGAGGAAGTGTAGGAAGAACGGGAGGGAGAAAGCAATGATGCCAGTGAGAAGGATTACGACGGGATTCCCAGAGAGCAGTGTGGTGGCTATTCCACTGGGGGACCAATCCATAGTATGATTGCATCTACCCCGGAATTAATCTAAAAAACGATATATCTATATCTAAATATACTTGCATATATCTCGAGAGAGAGTACGTTGAACAGTTGGTTGGCTCGAAGTACCTGAAGGTTGAAATTACAGATCTCGTGATCCGGATATTGCCTAGCGCCGGTAATTCTGTCACCTCAATACGTTACTTACCCAATCGTCGAAGGTGAATTTTCGGTATCTTTTGTATTGGGCAGTTATTAGTGGGCTCTGTTTTAACTAATTAAGGTATGGATTTATTTAGTGGGACAAATGATATTATTTTAACCCGCAACTAGGGAACTAGTCAGATATCAGATATTTACTTTACTACGAAAATAAAAAGTGATACTCCTTTTTGAAATTGCTGACCTTTGTCCCATCAAAGTATAGAGATGTACCTCGAGATATTTCCGTAAAACTAACTCTAGTTTATCATGCAGGGATGAAGTGATGAGTGATGAGTGGTTGTTGGACCCAAACCCAAGACACGGTAGAGTCGACCCTGTTTCTATCCGCGACTCAACTTCCCCACCTAGCAGAACAGGGTTGACTCACGGATTGATCTCACTCAGCCTTGACGGGCAGTATCCATTCATATTCGCTATCTCAGACTTTAGAATCTCTACATTAGTTACTCCAAAGTACTCGGAACTGCTTTCTCTTTTCTCTTTTTTTCCCCCCTTTTTTCGATTCTGTCTCTTTCGTACACCTACAACCAGTCGCAATGAAACCGCAGCAGCTTCTACTACTTACGCAGTTTGTGCTCGCCGCCTCCGCCACAATTGAGTTTACAGCGCCTCCAGCTGGATCTGTCTTGAAAGGCGGAAGTGTCCTGAATGTTGAATGGCGACATTTGGGAAATGATACAGAGTCATTGGCCTCTACTCTGTTTGATCTTAAACTCTGCGCCGGGGGTAACAGTGAAGATTCCTATGTATGCATTCTGTTTCTCACCGCGTCAACTCAATGCTATCTTTTCTCATTCTTAAAACTACCATATTGACTTTGGCATGCCTCTTATACCACAGGATTGCTTCATGTTCATAGCCAGAGGCAGATCTTTTGGCCAGGGAAACTCCGTCTCTGTTCCAATCCCCGCCAACATTGGTGGAAACGAGCCCAACGCATAGTAAACATAACCCTCCCAAGATGTATCTCTCAAGGAAGAAAAAAAACAAACTGAAATAGAACGGATACACTGACCCATCGTCAAAAATAACCCAGCTTCCTCCAAATGATAATACACATACCTCAAGACCCCCAACCCGTCAACTCCCCGCGCTTCACACTCACCGACATGACCGGCTCTTTCGCCCAAAAACTCTTAGGCGGCATAAAAGATATATCCGCCGCCACATACGGGCCTCCAACCTTTAACGAACTGCGCAAAAGACAAGCAAATTTACCCTACGAGGAACAACGGGGTACCATCCTCTATGCGCCCCCGCCCATGCAGCCACCGACGAAAATCTCCCTCAAAGCCGCTGGACCCTTGCACCCCACGAGTTCCTTTAATATTGCAACTACTTATCTACCCCCAGCGACTGTCATGACGACCGTAACTGCTCTGCCTACGTTTAAGGTGATGAGTATTGAGAATACGGTGGGTTGACTGTTCCTTTTATAAGCTTGTGGTTTATCATTTCATGTATTCGTTTTGACTGTTTGGCTGTTGCTGACTTGTTATCACGTTTCTGGATGGAATGTGCAGGCTGCTCCAGCGCCTGTTGATGAAGAGATGCAGAAGTTTTTGAACAGGTGGAAAGATTAACTTTGATAACTGCCTCTCCACTTTTTATCTCACCAGTTTTTGTGGCATGGATGGGTCTGTTATGGTTATGCGCTACGGTATTTAAAAACGGGCACGGAGTCCGGTTGATGGTTGCAATTGCACTGGCACTGCTTTGGAACATGCTGAAAGGGCGAGATATGGTGTGTTTTATGAATTTGTCCTCGATTTTTTCTTTCTTTTCGTATTGTTTAAAATGTTGATGAATCGTAACTCAGAGATATACAAGAATGGATGTACCTTACCTTACGGCATGTTAAAGAAGTGTTAATAGCAAGTTTCAGTGTGACTTGATTTATATACCAATAAAAGCTATTAAAAAAGAAAAGAAGAAAAAAAGAAAAAGAAAAAGAAAAAGCAAAGCAAGATCAGCTCCAATATGCATGGATATGACGGTTGGTCTGATCGGGAGATTGATAGGACGTATGTACTGAACCCAAAAAGAATGCCGATCGCTGTCCGTGTTCTATTTCAAGAACTTTTAGCATTCCCTCAAAAACCCCTCTGATAACAAAGAGATGGGAAATCTAGTAGGTCTGAGGAGAAGAGAACTAAGGCATGGACACATTGGCATCATGGTGTCCCATAAAACTCAAAAATCTTCACTCCCACCTCCTGGAATCATGGGTTCAGCTTTACGAGAACTTCCCAATCATTCCAGCATGTTGAAAAGGATAGAAAAGAATCAGCAAAATAGGCAAACTTAGCTCAGGTCAAAGCCATAATCAAACTGCCCGCGACTGGGGTCGACTTAGAAGCCTAAACCGTTCATCCGTCCCAGGCGTACTGGGCCGACTCGACGCCTCTGATGTCTGAAAGAACGCAATATTCTCCCTCAACGCCACATACTCACTATCCGCATACCCCAGCACAGACTGAATTTGCGTGCTCCGTAGCCCCTTTATTCGCGCAATCTCATTGCTGCCATAGTTAACCAGTGCCCGTCCGACTTCCCGGGGCTCCTCGCCCTGATGCGGGAAGTCACCGTTCAAGGCAGAGGTGGAACGTCGCTCAACCACGACCAGCCGTACGGATTCTTGTTGGCCGAAGTGACCTTCGACACCTACTACGCCGGCGGGGAGTAAGCTGGCTTTGTTCAGTGTGGCATTGTAGGCGCCAGAGTCTATGTATATTGTGCCATGAGGAGCGAGGCCGTGTAGTAGCCAGAAGGAGCGCGAGTGGATGGGGGAGGTTGAGGGGAGGAAGCGGGTGTGTGCGGGTGGTGGTGACGACAGTGGAGAGATGGACTTTTCGTCTCTAGTTTTTATTGTAGGAGAGGGAGGGGTGGCGTTGTTGTGCGGATTTGATTGGAGGTAATTGATGATATCGCGGATATTTCCTGGCCGTGAGCTGCGAGTGATTATGGTCGTGACGCCCGCGCTCGTTGCTAGACGTGCCGCGACTATCTTCGTGCTCATCCCGCCAGTGCCCAGAGAGGATCCTGCGGAAGATACGTCGACTTCAAGGGTGGATATGTCGGATACTACCTCTATCACCTGTGCGTCAGGGTTGGTGCGGGGATTGGATGTGTACAAACCGTCAACGTCGGTCATCAGGAAGAGATAGTCCGCACTAACCATAGCAGCAGTGATGGCAGATAGGGTATCATTGTCTCCAAATTTGATTTCCTATAAATTTAGATTTGTTATCTGGGAGCGCTTGTATCTACAGTCAGTTCATCGCTCATCGTGTTATTACGTACCGAAACCGCC